TCTACCACAGCCATTTTCAGCATCAAACAGGCACTGCTATATAATTTCTTGTGGTTAAAAATTAAGCAAAGACTAATATTTTTGTAAAAAAAAGGACTATAAGCACTTGGCTAGTCATTACATATTAATAGATAAAAAAGGATTAAAAATAATAGAAAAGAAAATGTACCCGTCGAAAGGAAGGGAATTTGAGAGGATGACGTTCAAGCAAGAAGACATTGAATGACCTGTCAATTCTGCTGCTGAACGAAGGATCCCAGCTCGAGAAATAACGTCTGGTAACTTAGGGAATATTTCATGGAAGGCTCGAAGAAGGGATTCGTTCTAGAAGTAAATATAAAAGAATTATAAAAAGTTCTATACAAAACAAATTTTGAGCTTTAATGGAACCGGACAACTTTTGCATTATATATATATATATATATATATATAAGAAAAAAGGTGCATTTTTGTATTTTTGATAGGCAGGCAAATACAGTCCTGACTCAATTAAGTTTCTACAGAATCCAGAATGATTCCTACCTACGCAAGATTGAATTCATTTGCCACATGAAGTAAAGAAAAAGAATAAATGACTAGAAAGATGAAAGTATACGACTCCTGAGCCGGAGCTGATTGAGAGGCACTATGTAAACCTTACTTTATGTGGAAGGACCTATTAAGAAACGAGTATAAATGGGGCCAGGAGTCATAATCAGTAGCCTGGACAGATTCCGAGAGATCCCGACACCTGCGGGTCGTATTCGAAAAAATGCCTTAGACGTCAAGTAGTGCTCAAATCCCTAAGTGGGAAGTTAAGATGATGCTGAAGATTAAGAACAATTTCCATTAAACTCTAAAATGTATAGATATCTCGGCTTTTAGTAATAGTTGTAATGAAGATAAATAAATATTTATGCTTCCCAAATAAAGCGGGATAGCCATAATATATGATTTTAAAACCAAAGACATGAATGAAAATCTATGCTTAAAAGCTACTTTTAAAGAATCCATTGTTGGCTAGTGCGACTTCGCTTTTTATTCGAAGGAACAGTTGCTTAGAGAAAATTTGTAAATTATTCTCTACGGAAGAGGAGTGCTTTGGAACAAAAACAGCTGAATTGTGTGAGGAAGTCCTCACCTTAACATCATTCAGCTCTGACAAACTTATAGTAAGCTTTTGTCTGTCATGGGAAAGACGGCATTAGAGACGAAAAGCACACTTTATTAAAAAATATTAAAAATATTCCAATCAGAAGAAAGTACCACCGAACAGACAAGTTATAAAATGACCCAATTAATGAGCCAAAATTGTTGTTTAGAGATAACTAAATGGGATTCGCGGCGGAATTAGAACTTGTCATTGCTGTCATTGAAAAATACCTTCCTTCCAATTGGAAAATACGGGTTAGTAAGAAAGCCAATAGTCAGTTCAATCACCCTTTTAGACGTATATCCATGCAAAAGTCTTCAAGATTTTGTGGAAATTGAGTCAATCTCAAAATGTTCTACCTACTTTTGGAAAGTGAGTCAAAGGAGTACAATTTTGGATAGAGTAGCCCTTATGAAAAAATGGTAATCCGTCCGTTCTTATTGTATACAAATACAGTTCAAGCCAGGGGAATAACAATCCTGCTGAACTTTCTAATGGCACAGTAATGATACAAGACAAAAGTAACTAGTTGCAGACCTTAAACAAATGAGCCCAGGGGCATAAGGCGGAAGCCTATAAAAAAAGACGAGCAAACACAATACTCACAGAGCCATGTGGCAACTCTTTTCCTCGATAGCGAATAATGGAGAGTAAGAGACCGGTAATCATCATACGGTCGGTGATGAATAGGAGTTGGCAGGAGGAAGGATTGAGTAAACCTGGATACAACCTCTGAAAGGTTTCTCTTTCCGAACCATAAAATTCTGGTTGCCCATTTTCGTCAATACAAGCACCACAATGGTGATACGCTTCCTCACAGCTGTTCGCTTCAGCGGTCTCTTTATCAAGCTCAAAGGAAAAGCCGACCCTGCCGGATGGGAAGTGAAGATGCTGATTTGGCAAAAGAAGAAGCAGAAGGTCATCACCTTCAGAATGGCTAAAGGTGTGGGCCTGACTAGCTTGGGTGGAGGCGCTTTTCGCATAACCTCCGTTAAGTTGGGATTCTAGAAATATATAAATAGATGGGGTGAGAAAGAGCCATAAAAACAACAATATGGAGTCACGAATGAATGAGGATACCGACAAAAAGCTCGTATTTAAAGAATGGAAGAATTAAGATTTGGAGAGTAGCGAGGAAACAGAATCAAAGGACTGGCTTGTGAGGAGGTAACAAATATGTTATAAAATAAAAGGAAGAAGAGTAAAGATGAATCAAGAATGCGTGTGATAGTAGATCAGAAATAGGTTAAAAAAAGGGGGTTAAAAAAAATAAAATTTTAAAGCGTAATGAATATTGAAAAATGCGATAAAATCAACTGTAAATGAAAGCTGAGTAAAAAGCTTCACAAAGCAAAATGAGTAAGAGAAGAACGAAAAATTAGAATACATCAAAAAAGGGTGAAAAAATGGATAAAAAATATTAAATAATAAAAAGATAAAACTCAAAAAAGGCAAAAATAAAGAAGAATACTCTCTTACTGTTCAAATTAGACTGCACCAGACATGATTCTCGTTTTGATGTCCGACTCGACGAGGAACGGAGACTGAGTTCACCAGCGAAAACAAATCTTTCAAGTTCCAGTTCAGTCTGTCTAGTTCGAACTGCCTCCGAAGAACCAGCAGCAATCCTCAACTCGGCTGCAGCAAGGTCGCGCCAGTCGCAATTCAGACCATACCATGAAGTTGCTGGCAGGTTGGACAGATCGGCCGATGTAACTTGCTTATTAGCATCGCTACGGGCGCCCAAGAATGGGAAAGTTCGCACTGGACCAGGAAGAAGAGAACACAATGCACGTTGAAGTGAGAAATTGACACTAAAGCTAACAACAAATGAAGTCCTATAAGAATTCACATCAGAATTCCCCTCGACAGGATGTGAATTACTTGAACAATCACTTTTAGTTCTGCCCCAAAATTGAGGCTAAAGTCATGTAGAGGACCTGAATTCTGAAATTATGACGAATCGGCTTTG